TAAATATTTCAAAATAAGTTTAATCATCTTATGATAAGTTCTTTCATTCCTTTAAAATTTAAAATCTTCCAAAGCACTTTAAGAGAAGGATTGTATATAGCTGATGATATTAAGCAGCTTTTGCAGTAAACTGAGAATTATGGAAGGCAATCTCTTAAATGTTACAAAGAAAACGGTAAAATTATTAATTCATCTATCATATACACAGCACTAAACAATAATTCACTTTGAAATTTATCCCGCATTATGTTTGTAATACGTATTATCAGTAAAACCCTGTAAATTGTGTTTTTCTTTAGGCAAGGAAATATTATGCCTAGTTTGTTCTCATACGCTGCTATACTGTAAAGCTAACGATTATATATTCCCAACAAATTTATTGAGCGTTCGTTACACCAGTAGCTGACGTCGAACAGAAAATTTATTTATTTTATCGCGTTAGGGAACACAGTTGACTCTCTCATTCCCACCTGCAGGAAACTTCTTCAGAACAGTACTGGCTGTTTGAGCTAAGCGTGCTGTTTGTCATACATCATTCATTTTCTGCTTTGCTGATAAATAATTATCCCGTGGACTTTAATAAGCGAAACCAGTAATGAGTTATTTATAGCCGACGACTGACGGGTCGTTTCGTATGCACCACATAAACCTCTCTAGAACCGAATTTGTGGTCATATCCCAGACAAATTCGGATCTACAGGGTAGATGTAAAGCACCAAGAATAAGCGTCTGCCACCGAAGACGACTTCCTAGTTTAGCACATCTCCCTTTCCAAATGGTCGGGGCAACCCCGCAACACGACTGGGAATATATCTCTGTCTTTCTCAAGATATAAGTTACGTTCTAAGATTTCTATGTTACGACTACGTTCTGCAAACTAAATAAAAACGAGAAGGTAAAGCATTTTTGTGAGAAGATATGGGGAGCAAAGTTCGTAAATGTTGCAGAGTAAAATTGGAGGATTAGTTTGAGAATAAAACGCTTCTTCGGACTCGGTCTGTAGGTTCACTATTGTAACTCACGAACGTGCATCATCCCTGTCCGTTTCGAAAGATATTGTGTTTATTGTATAGCACTGAATAAGCAGTAGATTCAAAGTTTGAAATAGTACTGGAAATATTTGCAGCTGATTGATATTTGGTATTTCATATAGTATAGCTTTCAGTTTACTTAATAACAGGATGAAGCAAAACAATTGTTAATGTAACAGAAAGTCTTGCTTATAACCTTGTTACCAGTAACAAAGGCCATAGGCTCCGCCATTTTGAATCCTAAAGCGCCGATGAATCTCGTTCAGTGATAAAAGTGAACCTGCGTACGTGCTCACCTAATTGACAAGGACACAGAGGACATTGTTAAGCCAAAGGGGCAGACACACCCTGTACATGTGTACTGTTTCAGCCGTCAGTTTTATTTCTTTATAATACTTCCAATAAAATACTAGTTTTTTCTTTAAACAATTAGCTCGCTTTCGTTTGTGGTTATTATTGTTTTTTTCAAATATTTGTAGGATTGCATAGAATTAGAAGTATAAAAGAAGCACAAAATAGTTTGAGAGTATTGTTGTAATTCAAGTATTAGTAATGTTGTACTTCAAGTACTCATATATAATACATATATATTTATACTTTAAATAAAAGTATCATACATTATTGGTGTAAAATTATGAAGGAGCGAAGTTAAGGAAACTTTCTACAACTTTGTGTATTTAATATATCAAATATGTGTGTAAGAAACGTAGTAAATCATTTCATAAAAAAATTAGCAAAAGAAAGTATTTAAATATTAGCATCTGACCAATGTTACGAACTGGTTCGTTTCGTCAAAGAAGAACTTGACGCCGTTGTTTGTTGTTGTTTTTTTTGTACAGCGAATATGGTAAAACATTCTCTAATTCCTGCACTCTAGGAACTGACAGGGTAATGCAGTCTGTACTCCAAGATTCTTATATAAAATTAATTCGAGATGAAGAATAAAAATGCAGCGTAAAACGTTTCCATGTGTGAAGAGTAGATGGCAGCGATGAATCACTCAACAAATGGAGGCTGCAGGGGCTGAAGAACATCCCCTCCACAGGGAACTAGTTACAGGCTAGCTGATTAATGATCGAATCTCGGGAAAATAGCGGCTCCCTCTCACACGGAAAATAACATGCAAGGCGTTCTCGTTGCTTTTACCGTGCCGTCGTCTTTTGATGCTTTTACATGAGCTAACCAAGCCTAATCTTTGAATATAGTGAAATCTTCAGTTGTCACTAAACAGACAAGGCAACGTTAAACAGGGAGCACGTAATCAAACTTCAACATAAATATGGTAGTTTGTGTGTACGCTCCAGCAATCTTTCTAAGAATGAAATTGAATACAATTACTGAAGTTTTTTAAAGAGAGAAGAAAGCTAAGTCCTGCGGGTAAGCTTCATAAATTATAATATGGGTATGTCAATGTCGATAACTTTGTAAAGTAACGAACGGATTGTTCTTTACGTTCTAACATGCAATTCTGTGTGATGAGAAACACATACAGAAGACAGGATATACTCAATCTAATCTAAGTGTATCGTTTGACTAGCATAATTATAAAGGGCTTTTCTCAGCAACGACTATTACAACTTGTTTTGTCACAACTAAAAACAACCAGAATTATAAATAACATTTTTTCGACAATATTTATTTAAAACATTGGCTCCAAGACAGTTGAAAACACGTTCAATATTTTCCAAGTGAAAAACCTATAATTTTTTAATAACAAACATAAAACGTATATTTAAAATCATGTCCTACTATTGTTTAAAACTTAAGCGTACAAGTCCTGCATAAGGAAGCAGAATTTATCTGAATTCCTGCATAGTACGTACTTTACATGACCAAAATCTTCTTTTACAATGAAAGCATTTAAAAAAAAGGCTTAGCTCGATAACATGAAAAGATTGAACAGCTAAAAATAAAGTTTTACGTACCTCTAATTCTTGAAGCGAAAGAGTTAATATTACTGTACTCACAAAGCTGTTTATAATTTAACTCATCCGTGTATTCTCATATTGTCACGTTCAACTGCTGCAGATAAATGGTTACAGGGAATAAAGCCTTGCAAATACTTTGTAGAACTGTGTTAAGTAAATAATAGTCTAGGTTGCCGTGGAATCATAGTCAGTGTACATTTAAGAAAATATGTTATTATGATACTTCAAATAATTGGCTTTTAGTTCTAACCCAGTTTAACTCTTTAATCAATTTTATCGTATATATCATTAACTCCAGCTTGAGGAATCAATTCTATCAATTTTATCGTATATGTCATTTAACTCCAGCTTGAGGAATCAGTTCTCTTTTTTAGTTGATTTTGTTTATGTGTTGTTAAGCGCCAAGCCAGAGAATGAGCTATCTTTGCTCTGCTCACCACAGGTATCGAAACTCAATTTTTAGCGTTATAAGCCCCTAGATTTACTGCTGAGCCAGCGGGGGGTGGGGGTGGGTTCAGTTGAAGTAACAAACCAGAATAAAATTTACCAATTCAGTATTAGTTTAGTAAGTTTGGATTCAGTGCAACTAAACAGCATCAGCCAAAGCTTTCTGGATTTCACACAGCTTATTGTAAAGTCTTCTGGTCGATGTAGGAGTCAGCTATTTCCAAGCCTGCTCTTATCAGCAGGATTTGATTATCCCCTTAAGACACTTCAAGTCTTTTATTCTTAAGACGCCGAATGGCATTTCACCAAGTCCCCCTGGACTGATTTTTTTCTTCTTTTGTAGATAAAAAAAAAGAAAAAATCTGTCATTCGCCAAAGCTCGAAGGTTGTGTGACGGGTATTTTGAATAGTTTCGAGTTTAGCCCGCCTTCTGACAACGTATTAGACGAAGGCAGATGTTGATGATAGTGGAAGGGCAGCTGTGATTCATGTTGCCTCGACCAAACCCTGTTGATGAGCAAAGGTCAGCAATAATTTCCTTTTACGTCACACTTTTTGTTCAATAAGTAATAACTTGACGAATCAAATCACTGTTCTAACGTTCTAATTTACAAGAATTCACCATAAGTTCACACATAGTAAATTTTCTCCCTCTCTTACTATTCGACTCATATTTCTCATTCTTCAAAAGTTAAGGAATCTCCTATATATGAAACTGGAAATTATTAGTTTTTGGGTTAACATTAAAAAATGATTTAATTTCTTTGATATCTACCAAAATTTAGTGCTAAAAGTATAATTTCAGTTGTTTAATAAACAGAAAAAAAGTTTCCTATAATTTTTTTTATCTTTGTTTACAAAGAATTATTTTGTTTATTATTGCTTAATTAGATTTATTTAAATTAATGAATGTTTTTTATCATTCATACGATATAACGTACGGCCCGGCATGGGTTAGAGCGCTCGACTCGAAATCTGAGGGTCGGGGGTTCGAATCCCCGTTCCACCAAACATGGTCGCCCTTTCAGCCATGAGGGTGTTATAATGTGACGGTCAATACCACTATTCGTTGGTAAAAGAGTAGCCCAAGAGTTGGTGGTGGGTAGAGATGACTATCTGCCTTCCCTCTAGTCACCTGGAGGACTAAATCTATTCACGTTTGTAGAGATTATTTAAAAAAAAATGTTTCTCTAAATGATTTTTTATTTATCTATTTTAAGAATGTAGTATTGTGCCCAACAATGTAAGACAAAGACAAACAGATTTATTTTCTTCTTTCAGGGGAATTGTATTTCACCCTTGGTTGTACCACCATGACACAGATTTAACTTACAGGTTTCATTCCAGGAACGTTAATATACACTTCAAGCAGATATTAAAGTATGAACCTGAGAGCAAAGAAAATTTTGCAAGGTGGGTAATAAAAAGACATGTATATGCGTGTGTGTGCGTTTGTATATATATATATGTATGTGTGTGTGTGTGTGTGTGTATACACATATGTATGTGTGTGGTCAACGTTTATGCAGAAATTTGATATATGCATTATCAGTAACAATGAAAGTGTACGAGTTTTGTAGAAAGATGTAACTAGGCAACAGTAACACACCCACCCAAATTTAAACAATCTTTGGTTGTGCGAACAATGGAAACCTTACACAGTCTAAAATATGGGCTTTTTAACGGAGAAAATTCCAGAGACTGTTTCGTGTCGTAACGTTTGCCTTGATTACGTCCTTGAAAACGAATGTTTGTTTTCTCTTACAGTAATGTTTCTTAGAAAGCGGTCATATCAAATCTCGAAAATGTTGTTCCTCAAGTTGTTTAAATGTTTTTCATGTATTATCAACTCACTTTTGTTTAAATAATCAACCAAAAATAATTGTCTTGTATAAACATTTAGCATTTATTTTATATGATCACATTATGCTAATTACTATATAACAACTGACAAAACCGCGTTTAAAAGTTTCTCCTGTGATATCACAACCGTCCCCAAGTGGCTCAGTGGTCTTCAGGCTTAGGACGCTAAACATCGAGATTCGATACCCGTATGGGCAGAGCACAGATAGCCCATTGTGTAGCTTTGATCTTAACAACAACTAAATCATAGCTCTTGTTGGAGGAATTATTGCACATCTGTGATGGAGGTAAACTGTTATTTTTTGAAAATATTTAAACACATACTTTCTATATTTTATAATGATATATTTACATTAAAATTCAAGAGTTAAACAATAGTATGCAAATTATATGTAACATATGATTGAGTAGTTTGTTAAGTAAATGTGATTTTGCACTGAAGTTTAGCCTAACTGTACTGTCACAATGAAAGTTACTTGCAAGGGATTTTGCAGCATAACAACTTATCTCTGCTAAAAACTTCTCAGATCATTTTCCAGCTTACAGGAACTTTCTGACAGTTATTATGTTATGCATTCAACCAGTTCATATACCTAATTAATTAAAGTGATCCAGTTCAACTGAATCAATACATATCATTAAATATCTTGGAGATACACCTTTAAGAAGATAAAGTGATTCAAAAACAGAGAAGTTGGTAAGAATTCCAATATGATAAATCTTTCTTTGATATATATATGACAATGTCCAATCATTAGCAGGTACTTTAAAATTATAGTAACCTTTAGAGATGTTTAATCGTTCCAGACAACTAATCAGAATATTGTATTAAACAGATTTATGATTTAGTTGTGTACCCTCTTTTTTAATAATAATAATTGTATACAGAGAAGGTCGAAAATAGAATAAAAACATATAAAATATAATGTACATCCTACTGTCGCTTAAGTTCATAAACTCTCTTGCCAAATATACACATTAGAAGTTAAATTTTTTAGTTTAAGAATGGAAACAAAGTTACTTGTGTTACGATTTAATGTTACTATAGCAAATTGTGAAATAGAGTGTAAGCCGTAAAGTATCTATTGAACTTTCTCCGATTGGAACCTGGACATTTGATTGTTTTGGTAATCAGCTTATGTATTGTTATTTGTTACTATGGCAAGGGGGTCATTGTTATTTTTGCTTTTTAAACCAGTAAAATTTCGTATTGCGAAGAATCCGTGTTTAATTTTCAGTTTAGAAAAACGTTTTTTAATGGACCTTAATTTTTAATTTAGGTAAAATACAAAACTTGTATTATATGTTTGAAAGCAACAAAATCCATTATGGCTACCAGCAAAACCAAACAATCCCATAAGGCGTATGTTTTTTGTCACTAGTCTGACCAGACAGATAAAATAAAGACTTTAAGTACAGAGTGCTTTCTCTAACACACCAGCAGAACCGTTGATAACAGTTTGTCAAAACTAACAACCCACTCTTGTTCGGTGTGAATGAGAATCTACGTGCTAATATCAACGCAAAGAAAAAAAATGTTAAAAGTGGGAAAACCTACAAGGTCAGTTATGGAGTTAGCTTCAGTAAAATTCGAAGCTAAAGGTCGTCAGAAGTAGTCAATGTGTTTTCCACATTAAAGCATAAAGATGCTGGCAAGGTAACAACAAATAATCATCCAAATACAAACGGTTATAAAAGCATGTTTTATAGTACATGTGTATGTTGCGTGTACTACGAACATAAGTTATTCTTTGTAAGCAACGAAATCCTTCAGTTGCTAAACCTTCAGAGATTCCTACTCTCTCGCATAAATTTCGTCTCCGTTTTATACCACTTTTAAGTTAAACGATTCTAGTACCATTCTCGAGCTATAAAAATCGTTTTATTTCAATATTAGAACCTTTATGGTGAAATTCGAATAATTATGCTCACAGTTCGCTAAACATCTAGATACTTTTTTATGAATGAATTCAATCTAAGAAGCGCAAGAAACAATGCAATACACAAAGTATATATTTAGTATATATAACAAGGATAGGAATTAGAAACCATCATCGCCATCTTACTGACACTCTTTCTGGGTCAGCTACGACTTGACTGCACAAAGACAGGGGATATGGAACGTTGAATATCAGACGAGAAACGAACAAAAAACAAACTAGAAACATATAGAGTAGTTTTACGTTATATCATTGAGTAATTTACACTCTACTTGTAAATATCACTTTCGATAAAAAAAATTAATTAATGTAACTGTACACTGTAATTTCCGTGAATGAAAGCATGACAGCAGAAAGTTATAATGCATAGGCCCGTTTTTTGTTTTTTTATTGTTGTTCTTCATATTTTACTTGCCAAATGTACTTTGTGTGAAAAAAAAAGTAATATTCAGCAAGCAAGTAATCTTCACACGGATTTAAACAACTTATTTACCAAGAAGGCTCTATTTTAAGTGTTACTTTCAGTTTTTAAATTACGATAAGCTTCTTAGGATTAATGAAATTGCTGAAGAATAATGATTGATGAAGTCAAGTTATTATCGGTGTCAGAAACTTAATGTAGGTGCCTGAGAATTAATTTTTTGATGAAATATTTTAAAAAAAGAGCATGGAAGAAAAGTGAAAATGTTATACAGAGACAATATAGCTGCTCCACCACGTTTTAAGGTGATAAAAAACTTGTACAGTATTAAGTCGAAGTAAATTAAAAGTTTTTGTAGCACGTGCGTGTAATGAGTAATGAGCACCTATTCAACCACTGTGATCGACTGTAGTTTTACTAAAAGCTAACAGAATATTAAACACGCAACTCGAGTGAAACATCAACATGAAAAATCAGATTCGCCACGTGGCACGCATGAACATCGCTATCGGATGTCTACGAGTGAACATCTACTTACCTCTAGCCACAGAGGCACTCAGCAGATAGAAGACTACTCTATGTTTTTGTGTTGTGAATAGTCGTAACGAATTACACAAGAGACTAGAGGGAACTGCGATGTGTAGACGAGATGAACATATCTTTTTGTTGTTGTTGTGCAGAGCGCAGGAGTTCTCACAGAGGAAGTTGAGTGTTTTCAAGGGGAGATGAAATGAAAACAACACATTTCAAAGATATCTAAAGTCATATATTCGTAGTTGTTTTTTTGTTGTTTTTTTTTACTGGAAGGAACTTATGAAGAAAACGGGAATACTATAAAGATAATGACAGCTTTACGTGTGGCAAAATGAAGTTACCAATTTCAGCACATTTGCGTAAATCAAGATAATACACAGAAAAATTTGTTATCAAGCAAAAGTGCTAATTTTATAAACGTTTACATTGAACACTTGCTTATGGAGAAAGGAACTTTCCTATTTTAATTGAATTTAATAAGTGAAGATTTGACCGTATTACACAACAGATATTACAAAAACTCTGAAATTATCTTGTCAGTGTAATTAATATAATTTAGACATAAACATCAAAATTTCGGAAGAAGTAAAAGTAATAGTGAGAATAATAATTTCAAAAGGCGGAGCTAATTTTAGCCCCCCCCCTTCCACAAAAAAAACAACAACATATTTTAAACATCCTTTATCTCGTCGTAAGTTTGTCAAAAATATTAGGTCCAAATTCAACAGAACGTTTAACATATACTTTCGATTTGAATCAAAATTTAACTAATATAAAATATTTAAAAAGAACAACCTAACCCGTAACAAATGTAACACGAAATGAAAATAAGCAAATACACGAGAGCCATCCAATTTTATGATGGTATCGATAATTTTCACGAAAGAAACTAAACAGAAATAAACACCAGCTTTAACCATCAACGCAAGTAACGAGAAAAGTGCATAGGAAAAAAACAGAAAACACTTGCGTATGGAAAGCAAGAGCTCCATATATATATAGTGTGTGTGTGGATCACCCCTTGACGCTAGAGCTAAAGTTTTAGCGGGCAAGAATCTTTCCAGACGTCAGCAACAAATTGATTGGATTTTACTTAGAGGGAACTAAGCAGATGGCGACCGGTTCTGTTTCTGAAGTGCATCACCAGCCAATCAATGCGTATTCTTTTTGACAAGACCCAAAGAGTCTTCCCTAGTAAAAGGAGAAGTTCCGAATATCTTCCAGCACATCAAGAGCATTGTGCTGGATAAGTCAAATCAATGATTCTGCAGAGTGTTTTTGTGATCAAACGAGAAGACCAATAGCGATCGTAAGATGTACTTAGAATGTACATTATACAGAATCAAACAGTTCGAAAAAGCTATAGATTATCTGGTACGAATGTCAATTTCTTCCCTTACAAGCTATTTATATTAATGTATCCGTTGCTAAGATATACAATTTTAACGATACGTTTACGGACTGTTTCTTAACGTGGATTTATTTACACAAGCTTTCTCAATAACACGTAGTAAAGAAATTACAGTATTACATTTCCTACATTATTATATCTTTTTTTTGGTAATGAATATATATATATATATATATATATATGTGTGTGTGTGTGTGTGTGTGTGTGTGTGTGTG